AAATTGCATCAAAGTAAATTACCAGGGAAAATACAGAAAACGGTAAAGGTACTCAATGAGCATGGAAATCCAGATTGCCAGAAGCTTCATGATGTTCGTCGTTTCTCCGGTAGACTTCTCACTAATGATTCTCGTTCTCTCGCCAATTTTCTCGCTCCCTTTTCCTTTCATTCTTCGCCCTATTTATAGAGCATCCTTTAAGCAAGTAACCTCTTAGGAGCAGTTAATGAAAACCTGCTACCACGTCCTACGTGCCTGTTGCAGTTTCTTCTTCGGTGTCAAAACTGCACCCACGTTCCCATGATCTTCGACCTCCGCCATGGTTTAAAAACTGCTTTCACGTTCCCATACATGAGGTAACTGCTTCTTTGACCTTGGACCTTTGCCATTGCTTGCCATGTTTGATTGTACACGTTAATTGTTTCTTTCTTTATAACTTAGCCGGGATTTCGATACATGGGTTAACCTTTCTCCGATGTTAATTTCAGAATTTCGAGAACATTTGACTTGCCTTTGATTTCTCTTAATCTTAACATTACATAATTCTGATTTCTCGATTTCATTCACTAACGGGTATTAAACATTCATCCTTCGATTCTCGATTCAAATTCTCGCTTATATTGTCTCGTAGTCGTCGAACACATTTTCCAGCTATCTTTCGATTTATCAGTCTTTAACTCAATCAAAAAGGGTTCTCGATTTGCTCCCATTTGTTTCTCGATCCCTTTACCGATTTCCCACTAACACATATATTGGTAGTCACAACCATCCAAATTTTCTCCTTTCTAGAGCACAGCCATAGAAAGTCTCTTGTTTCCAATGGATAACTCTTTTATCCTTTTGCTGTCCCACCTTCAACTTCAAGCCTTGTGGTCATCTTTGATCGTTCTTATAATTTTTTGCATAACCTTTCACAAAGACTTTGGATCTCGCTTGTTTAGCAAAGCCAAAAAGCAAAAGCTACCCTTGCCTCCAGGTCCCAAAGCATGGCCTATAATCGGCAGCATTCCTGAAATGCTTGCAAATAGGCCTCCATTCAGGTGGATTCACAACCTCATGAAGGAATTGAAAACCGAGATTGCTTGTATTCGCCTAGGAAATGTCCACATCATCCCCATAACTTGTCCCATTATTGCTCGTGAATTCTTGAGAAAACAAGATGCTACTTTTGCTTCTAGAGACCTACGAGCATATCTTCTGATCTTATCAGTGGTGGATATCTCACCACAGCCCTTGTGCCCTTGGGGGATCAATGGAAGAAAATGAGAAGAATTGTTGCTAATGATTTGTTGTCCACTACCATCCACCGACAACTTGAATCTAATAGGGTTGAAGAAGCCAACAACATTGTGTTTTGCATTTACAACAAGTGCAAAAACAATGTCAACGGTAATGTTGGTCTTGTGAAAGTGAGGGATGTCGCACGAGACTATTGTTGTAACGTGATAAAGAAATTGAGCTTTAGTACGCGGTATTTTGGGGATGGTAAGAAGGATGGGGAGCCTGGTTGCGAAGAAGTGGAACATCTTGATGCCATTTTTGCAATGCTTAATTACATTCATAACTTTAGTGTTTCCGACTATGTCCCGTGCTTAAGGGGACTTGATTTGGATGATCAAGAGATAAAGGTAAAGGAAGCCTTGAAAATCTTGAACAAGTATCATGATCCCATCATTGAACAACGTATTAAAGAATGGAATGATGGGTCCAAGATTGATGGAGAAGATTTCCTTGATATTCTCATCTCACTCAAAGATGCCAACAATAATTCAATGTTGACAATACAAGAAATCAAGGCACAAATAATCGTGAGTGATCTATTACTTCTTTTATTTTTCTTTTGCACATGCATTATGCTTATTCATGCTTACTTATATACAAATGAATGATACAAACACACCACTTTAACTAGCTTATTTTGAATCCATTAAATTATGACTATAAAGCCCATTGAACTTGAACTAATGTAATTTAAAATGAATCTCCTGTTGTAGGAATTGATGGTGGCTGCAGTAGATAACCCGTCAAATGCAGTTGAGTGGGCTCTCGCAGAGATGATAAATCAACCTGAGTTGCTTCAACATGCCACAAAAGAATTGGATAGGGTAGTAGGAAAAGAGAGACAAGTCCAAGAATCAGACATCCCAAAGCTGAACTACATAAAAGCGTGTGCAAGAGAAGCTTTTCGTCTTCACCCCGTTGCACCTTTCAATGTTCCACATGTTTCTGTAAAAGACACAATAGTGGGAAACTACCTAATCCCAAAGGGGAGCCATGTGTTGTTAAGTAGACAAGAGCTTGGACGAAACCCAAAAGTTTGGAGTGACGAGCCTCATAAGTTTAAACCAAATCGTCACCTTAATAGTGAGGTGGTTTTAACTGAGCCAGATTTGAAATTCATTTCATTTAGCACAGGCAGACGTGGTTGCCCAGGCATCACGCTTGGCACCACAATGACAGTGACTCTATTTGCTAGGTTGCTTCATGCCTTCAATTGGACTGCACCGCCTGATGTGTCACACATCAACCTTGCCGAGAGCCGGCATGATATTTTTCTCGCTCACCCACATGTTTTTATAGTTTACAAATAATTCTTTCGAAAAACCTATTGTTCGAGAAGTATAACTGAATTGGAATTTTAATTTAATAAAATATGAATTTGAAAATATTTTATTGTTATGTTAATTAATACGAATTTAATTTTATTCCTCATTAATAGATTAAATATTAAATGTTTTTAGGAAAAACTTTCCATATTATATTATATTATATATATATATATATATATATATATATATATATATATATATATTAGGTAATATATAATATTTAAGCTGTACTTAATGTTGTACAAAGTAGATCTAAATATAATATCTAATTTGGTTTAGAAATCCAGTTACAAAAATAAAATCTGTAGGAACTCCATTAAAGACTATATATATCAAATTTATCTCAATTTTCAAGAACCATAAAAAAATTAGCAAATGATTCCAAATACAACAAACCATATACTTGTTTAAAAGTTTTAAATGTAGAATCCAATATACTACGATCAATAAAAAATGATATCTACGTGACTAAAAAATAAACAAATATAATATTAACCGAAAATATGAAGTCAAAATAATTATGATTATCGAGTCCAATTCATTCCAAAGAAAAGATATTTAAAAGCATAAAATAAAATACATGAAAAGTGTTTTTAATGTAAGATAAAGATATAAATGTGTTCAAAAAATATATTCCATCAATTTTTTTTCATGCTTAAACTTTTGTATTTCCAAGGAAAATGAAAAAAAAAAATGAAACAAAGTTAAAAAAAAATGCAAAAGAAAATAAAGGAACGTATTCAATGGATATACAAATGAAATTATGATCCAAAGAGAAAATGAATCACACATCTAAATTATAAATAATCTAGACATAGAAAATTTATTCCTAAACATAAAAATAAAAAGAGTCATAGTCTAACTAAACTATGGATCAAGTATAGTAAAATTCTCACAAAATGTAAAAAATAAATCTATCATACTTGAAACCTCTAACTAAGAATAATGAAAATGATATTACTAATAATTTTGTTTTAAAAAAAATAATCGCCAACAAGTATACTAAACAATGTTATATTATGCTAAACCTAAATCAATAGTAAATTTGTCCACACTTGAATCAAACAAGTGTCCTTAACGTGAAAATGTACTGCCAAAAAGAGAAAACCAAAACCAATAAATAGAACAATACAAAACAAAAAATAAGAGAACAAACAAAAAAAAAAAACAAGTAAAAAAAGTTTCTTTTAGTGCCTACTTAGACATTTTATCATCCATGATAAAGTCCATAAAAAAAAATATAGTCCTAAGCCTCCTCCCTAGATATACTCTCATGGAACTACTTTAGTTGGTGACTATTAACCTTAAAATTATTATTAATATCTTTATCTTTAATCTTATTTGTACCATGAGAAAAAACATTAGTAACTAGAAAAGGTTCATCCTATCACTACAAGAAAATAATTAATTACCGACGAGATAGTTACCGATGGATATATAGTCATCAAAAAATGAGTGATTACCGACGAAAATTACCGATAGATTTAAAGTATTTGTGGAATTTGATCTTACTGATGGATATATCTGTCAGTAAATGAACAATTAATTACCGACGAATATATCCTTCGATAAATTAACAATTTTGATAAATTAATAATTAGTTACCGACAAATATATCATTCGGTAAATTAACAATTAGTTTCAGATGGATATATCCATTGGTAAATTAACAATTAGTTACTAGACGGATATATCCGTCGATAAATTAACAATTAGTTTTTCCAACGGATATTTAAAATATATTAATATATAAATATATTTGTATTTATATATTTTGTTTTTATATATTTTATATTTACTTATTTATATGGATATACATTTATTTGTATATAAATATAATTTATTTGTAAGTTATTATTAGAAAATCATAGTAGTTTAATGGTTGAAGTATCAACTTCCAATTCTAAGGTATTGAGTTTGAATCCTGCCAAATAAAAATGTTTTGTTCAAGCATTACCGACAAATATATCCGTTGATAATATCTATTTATCGATGGATTTTGTCCGTTGAAAAATCTAATTTTTCTTGTAGTGTATCTAAAGTAAAATTTACCTTCAAAAGGGGGTGAATTGAATTTAAAAAAAAAAAAACTTTTCATGAGAATTATTTTATTAAGCTAGGAATGAAAATTGATTTAACCAATGAATATGGATTTGAGAGCTATGAAAACAAGTATAATAAGAATATGTAAAGAAACAAACTAGTAATAAGAAAGAGAGATAGAGAAGGAGAAAAAACACAAAAATTTATACTAGTTCACTCTTCTAGACCTACATCTTGTCCTTAGTCAAATCCAACTAAGAGCTCCACTAAAAAAACACAACAGTTTACAAAGTAGAATACCTATCTACCTCAAGAGTTTTCTTGAAACGCTCAAGAACAACTCTTCCCAAAAACCAGTGACAAACCTGTCACCATCACAATCTAGGACACTGTAGAACTCATCTAATTACAGAATTATAGATAAGATTTCATCTGGAGACAACAATTACAAGATACAGAAAAAGAATCTAGGTGAAGAGTTCAAATGCAAATTTCAATGCAAGCTCTGATCACGAAAATAAAACCAAGATAGGCTCCAAGATTTTGTGTGAAATAAGCAGTATAATTCTTTCTTAGAAGTAAGCAAAAGTATTCTAAAAAGACTTGATCAAAATTATGTATAAAATGTTTGAGAGAATAAGGTGTTGAGCCACCGTTAGTTTTAACCAATTAAAACTTGTTTTAATCTATTAATTTCACTTAACTATAATTTGTTATTCGAAAAACATGACGTGATTTTAATAGATTAAATTTTTTTCATCCATTAAAACAAAAACACTTAAAAATCCTTTCCAATTGCAATGGTATTTTTCATAGATAAAAATCAAGTTTAAATTAAAACAACTTAGACAAAAAAACATTTCTCAAAGCTTGGAACATCTTAATCTATTAAAAACTTCTTTTAAGTAGCAAGGCCAAAAACCACTCTATTATGGCCAAAAATATATTAAAACATTCTTTTAATAAATTAAAACAAATCCTCATGTACCAGTTTTGACCTTAAGTGTTTTTAATCGATTAATTCGAGTTTTTATTCTATTAAAAGTGTGTCTCAAAAACATTTTAACTAATTGATCTATCTTTTAATAGATTAACACACCTTCTTAATAGAAATCAATTTTCAAGAGGCTTTCTATATTCCTAAATTGTGATTAAGAAAGTATGAAACAACTTACACAAGACATAAGACACGCAAAACACAAGCTTTCAATTATCATGTGAGTTGGACTTCATCAAATCTCCAAGACTTCAACAATTTAACATATTCTTCATCATATTCTCTATAGTCTCCCTTTATTTGATGAAAACAAACTCCTACTAATCTACTAAAAAAAAAGTACAAGACTAGTAAGCTTATGGATATTATAGGCCAACAAATCACATGTAAAAAAAATAGAGAAAAAAGAGAGAAAAAAAAGAGATTTAGTTGTCCCAAGGTCCTTGGTTGAGCTGAAGATCCCTTATTCGGTTGTACATGTCATCTAGTTGAATATGTTAGAATCTGGCAATGGATTTTTCATAAAGATTCTTATAACTGACATAGAGAACATGGGTCATTTAGAGTTATCTTTTCTAACCTACTTGAAGTGAGTCCATATGGGATAGCATAGTCCTGTCAAATTATGATAATTGTGTACCATGATTAATTGGAGAGATATATGGAACCATGTCTAGCATCATGGGAGTGGCCTCTCCCTTTCATCCATTGTAGTGTTACTTGGACCAGCTTTATCACCTTCATCATCTTGACCAGTGATCGATGTCGTACTTGGTCAAATAATTAAAATAGATAAATGTAGTACTAGGAAACTTTCCTAGGTCGTCTCCCAAATACCACAAATTTTTATCAAAGCTTATCCATTTTTCGAATTAGAACAACAACAAAAGGGGGGTTTTTTCGGAATTAAAATATTAGATGAAACACAATAAAAGCATATTATAAAAATGTGGATTAAATACAAATTAGAATGCAATTGGTTTCCTAATTCCAATGCAGTGTCACTTATCCTAGGTTACAAAATTAATTTAAAATTAACCAACTAAGCAAAGATAAATCTCAAATTATATTACAATCCAAAATTAATCAACTAAGCGAAGATTAATCCCAAATTAGCTTTAACCCTTATTCCAATATGAAATTAACCAACTAAGTGAAGATTAACCCCAAATTATCCTTAACCCTTATTCCAACATGAAATTAACCAACTAAGCGAAGATTAACCCCAAAATTATCCTTATACAATTAAGCATTGCATACATCACATAATCTCATCTCTAACACAGAATTAAGAAAAGTGTTATATTAGTTTCGGTTTATTAAGCATAAACAGATTATAATTCAATAATGAGATTAGAAGATGAAGAGTTAAGAGAACAAACGAAATGAAATTGAAAAACAAAATCTCAAAGATCTACTTGTATTCTCCTCAGAAAATCAATACAAAGATTTAGCTATCCATGAAAAATCGAAAAAGCAGAAGAAGAGACATAATTAAAATCGAAACAAGAATTTAAAATAATGACAGAAAAGTAAACAAACTTGAATACAAATTGTAGAAGATGAAAGGTGGTTGTGTGGTTGTTGCATGGTGCCGTTCTCCCTTAACCCTACATCTCCAACACATAAATAACCCTAACCCGAATCTTAATCTAGGTTTTGGGCCCAACTGGTCCACAAAACACATCATAAGTTGGCTTCAATGCAGGTCCACCAACTTCAAACACGTGTATTATTTTCAATACTTATCCAAATTAATCTATTTTGGTCTCCTTTGAAATAATTTTGAGTTAGCTTTAAAATGCCACTGTTTCTACTATTTGCGGAGGTCTAATGAATTTAGGAAACTTAAATTACTGAAACATGTCCATTGGGTCGGCCTGGTGCGCTTGACCCATTTTGGATAATTTATGTAAAATCCAATTTAGCTCCGAATCGAATG